TAATGCTGGTAATAAATAATCATAATAATGATCATAAATATTATGCTGATTGTAGCTGTCTGATTTTCTTCAAGTTATGCACTCAGCAGAAGAGCACTTAAACATGCTTAAATAATTGAGTTATTTTGTATGATGCATAAGCGGTTTATAAAGTACATACATATGTATATGTAGTGTATATATGTATGCATATATAGTGTATATACATATGTCTGTATACACATCTTTCATTTTCATGTTCAAGTTGTATTTTTGCATTTCGGATTCGAAATATTTATTTCACTTTCGCACTTCTCGTTCGCTCTGACCTTGTTTCATGTGCTCCATTTATTTATTGTTGCTTTTGTTGTTGTTGCTGCTGTTGTTGTTGTTATATTACTTGCTCTCATACACGCAATAAGCAAACAAGTAAAAGTAATTTCAGCTAGATAATAAATTGCTTGTTAACAATTTAGCTCAAGTGAAATTCATGAGAATCGCAAAGAGCGGCCAAGTAATAAATATTAGTTTTCGATTAAAAAATCTCAGCCCTAGTTAATTTATTGATTGAATTTGATTGCGGCTTGTTTAACAACACTAAAAAAGTTGACAGCTGTCAAAATAGATGCGCCAGATGGCCCAGATGGCAAAAAGAAAACTGAAAACAAAAAAAAAAACACCATTGGAAAAATCAAATCAACAAACTGAAACAACAACAACACGAATTAGACAAAACAATGGGCGAGAGAACACAATTTAGGCCAAAGACAAACAAAAGCAGCTACCAAATTGCATTAGGCCAAATCACAGTTGAAAACTTTTGAGGCATGAAAAAAAAAAAAAATAGGAGAAGGAAACAGAAGGCAAAACTGCTAAAAAACCGAAAAGAAAAAAAAAAACGAGACATGTTTGCGGCAATACAAGCAAAACATAAACTAAAAAAAAAAAAAAAATAGCAATAACAACAACAACAGCAGCAGCAGAACAACCTTGACAACAATTAAGACACACGCACGCACTCACACACACACACACACATAAACACACATATGTCTAGAGGGAAGCTCGCGTTTAAAAACGCGCGCGTGCAAAAACGCAACAAAAGTCGCGCCTCCGAGGTAATCAATCAATGTAAGCGCTTTCAAGCGCAGTCAAGACAAGGACAGAGCCAGCGCGGCAGAGTGTGTGAGCGAGAGAGAGAAGAAAAGTGCAACTGAGATGGCTATAGAGAGAGAGTGTATGGCTCTGTGTGTGTGTGTGTGTGTGTAATTGGTATTGATAAATTAAGTAAGCAAAGTGTGTCGAGCACCAGAAGCCTGTTTAATGAACCGCAGCAGAAGCAAATTGCGAAAAAGAAACCAAAA